AAAAAAAAAAAAAAAAAAAAAAAAAAAAAAGGTGGACGACATTCCGTTGCGAGTCTCGTCCTATTCAGGCTGCAACCAATTCAACACGGCCGAGATGATCAAAATTTTGCTCGTAAGTGGGAGTTTTCTCTAGCCAGCGGCGGCTAAGCAGAGACTGAGAAGCGGCCGAGCATAAACTGGGCACCGGGAGAAGCGTACCCAAATGAGATGTAGGAACCCCATTGACAGAAAGACATGACAACAGCGCACCTCTTCCCCTCCCGCCTCCCCACAGGAGAACAACGAAATTATAACCTGCGTTGGGAACAGCCTCAACTGCTGCAACTTTGAAGTGTACAGTCTGTGTAATTACTCCGTGTCGATTCTGCTGCCGTACAATAACTCCTGTAAGGATTGCCAAGGGAAGAGGGAGAGGAACACTCCATTTGATGAGCTGTCCACAAAGGAGAACCCCATCATCTCGTATGCCTCCTTCGTGAATACGTTGCCTTGTAATTTGATCATTGAAAAGAGTCGACTGGGTAGGTTTTTACTTGAACAAGTGAAGCGGGGCGGCACAAACTGTCTGAATGGATGGTCGTCCCGGAGTCTCCTCCCTTCACTATGTAGTACACTGCGACGTCACTTCTAACCACTTTTTTTAATCCCTCTTTTCGGCCTTGTCCCCCCACAGACCTGTCAGAAAACATAATGGAGGTGGTTTACAAACTATTGAAGAGTTCAAGGATCCACAAGAAAAACGTGTCGCTGACGATTTTTTTTTTTTACTTCTACTACTCCCAATTGTCCTTCATGTTGTTCATCGTTTCGGTGTTCTTTTTGCCCCCGCTCATCTCGGTAGGGCCACATCCCCTGAACCACAGTTGCACGCTACGCCTCCCTTCCCACTCGTTTAATATGACTTGCCTCCATGCCCCCCTCGTACAGGTCATGGACTACCTGCTGTTCATCCTGCTCATAATACCCCTCCTGTCAATCGCCCTCCTTGGCAACGATAACAACAGCACCATAATGAACGAGATCCCAGATAAAGTCATCACCCGGGAGTTCCTGCTGAAGAAGCTGGTAGGGCGGGCAGCGGTGCCGCGGCGCAGCGGCGCAGTAGCGCTGAATTCATCTCACCCCTTCATGTGGCAAAGACAACAATTCGTTGAGGCAGAAAGGTGCACCGCTACGCTTCAAGCATCATACATATAACACACCCATTTGTTTAACTTTTCTCCCCCACGTGGCAGCTCTTCTTTCTTATCAGGTGGATCCCCTACATGCTCTTCTGCGTCACGTTGTCCATTTACTATGTACAACTCATTAACAACAAATTTGCAGGCAATTACATTTTGCAGTCTGCCCACAGTGGAGATATTTTGAATTCATTGAAGAAAAATTTCATGGCGGACGTGACACACCACTGCACGCAGAGTGGGCACCTAAGTAGGCATAGGCTTTTGCGCATCGAGGGAAGGAATGAGACAAATTGTACCAGTCCGTCTGGCAGCAGCACCGGCGTAGAAGTGGTAACCCCGCCGATGCGATAACGATACCCCTTCAGACGCGCCGCTCCATTTCCCCTCCCCTCCTATAGGCTCCCTTTACAAATGCCAGCTGCTCCTTTATTCCTTTTCTGAGAAGGAATCTATGGGTCTGCGGCGGAACATGGCAGGCGTGGTGATCAAGCAGATGCAGATATATTTTTTTTTCGTTTTCTCCCTCTTGTTCTTTGTTTCTTCGCTGTCGCACAGTGACAGGTGAGGCAGGGGCTCGGTTCGAAGTCGCGTGTTCGTTACTGTGTGTTCGTGGCTGCGTACCAGATATGCCTTGCCTGCCCCCCACCCCTCTTCCCCCCACGTAGGTTCGAACCCCTGTACAAGCTCAGCTGCATCAATAACTCAAAAACGTATTTCTCGTGCCTGTTCATGTTCCTCTTTTTGAGCCTCCTCTACGTGGCTTTCCGAGTCTATATGCTTCCCCCCTACTACCTAATTCAGGTGAGACAGACTTTGTTCCACATGGCGGGTATCATTACGTCACCATATGGCATATGTTGGTGGTGTAGGCCGTTGGAAGCACACTCCGCTGTACGGTGTATTTTGTTGTGTACCTGCTACACATGGATCATCACCCCATGTTAATCTTTCCCTACCACCCTTTTTTGTTGACCCCCCGTTGGCAGTTTCCCGATGCGACTCTGAGCATACTTGTACTCATCTTCAGCCTCATCATATTAGTGATAAACGAGACGTTGAAGCGAGTAGAGGCAAGGATCAAAACGAACAGGCAAAAATATTTGAAGGTCCTGTTTGGAACTCGCCTGGGCATGTGGAGCCCCAAGTGAGATCCTGCTGGGAGTTGGCCGCAATACAAGCCTTTGTACGTGATGGAAGGGTAGTGCCCTTTGCAATTTTTTCCCGTTTTTTTTTTTTTTTTTTTTTTTTGTTGACATGCAGCAATCGCACACTGGTTGTGTGTGTCTCTCTTTTGGCGATACCCCGCTTGAGGAGAAGTTCGTTAACCTCTCTCTCCCCATCGACGGGACAAGTGACCAAGGGACCAATTATTGGGTCACCACTTTTTAAATGTGTTACCCTTTTATGGGTTCTTTGAAAATAAAAAACATCCTCATCAGAAAATGTGGGGCAAGTTTCTGTGGCGCAAAGTGGCGCCCCATTCGAAGCAGCGTTCACATATGGTAAGGGCAATTATGTAGGTATATAACATTTCAGGAAAAAAAAAAAAAAAAAAAAAAAAAGGATGAGGATGAGGACGAGGCAAGGACACAAGGGAAGCAGAAATAAAAAAGAAGCAGAAAAAGGACGCGGAGAAATGCAGGGATAAAAGGATGGGAAACTAATGGCTCGGCACATGCACACAAGGTTTTGATCTGTAGAACTGGAAGGTGTTTTGTCAGGAGGTGTCCACGCTTGGTTCCAAATCCTCCCTTGTGCACCTGTTTTCAATATTCTTCTTAACCTGCGAAAGGGTTACTTTTTTCCCCTTGTCGATTCTCCCTGCTGGGTACTCCTTTTACCATTCTCTACTCGTTCGTCTTGATGATGTCAGAGTCACCCACGTCCGTGATGACCAGGCAGCTGATTCGAAATAATTTTCCGCAGGCAGTTCCCAGGTCGTTGTTGTCCCCGTGGTAATCGTGGACTCCACACTTGGACAACATGGCGTAGTATTCTATAACGCTCCTCTGAATGGGTGGGCAGTTGGTGCTGACGATAACAAGTTTGCCTGGGGTGGGGTGGGGGAAGAGAGAATAATACAATGTGGTGAAAGTCATACATACAAGAGCATGTGAAGAGTGCGAATTAGTACATGTATGCACGTGATTGAGCACAGGTCGCGGCGCGCAAAACGCAGGGCGGCTTACCTTTTCCGGTTCGCAGGGCCTTCAAGCAGGACTTCCTGCCGAACTGATATTTGCCCGATTTCATCACAAGCTGCAGCTTGGCGTTAATATTATCTCCCGCACTCTTCTTTGACTTTTTCGCCATGGTGAATTACAGACGGAGGGGGGGGGGGGTTGAGCAGCGGAGCAAAGGTGAGGCTTGGAGTGGGTATTTAAAAAAACTGCGGAGAAGAGCAGAAGGTGGGGGGGGAGGAAATCAATCCGTGTGAGGGATACAATACATTCAGCAGCGTAGTTAAGAAGTATTCATTCGCGTAATTTAATGAAGCGCTCCAGAAGAGGAAAGCTCTTTTTTTTTTTCCCAACTTACTGAAGCGAATGCGCTATAAAAAATTGACTATCCTTTTCTTCGCGGAAATAAAAAAAAAAACAAATAATCTTCACGCGCAGAGATGGTGCGAGGGTCAACCTTTTTTTTTTTTTTTTTGTTACAATCCCAAATGGGGAATAGAAGAAAATTTAAAAAAACAAGTGGTCACTTCTCATAAGAGGAAGTTCAGATGTTCAGTCAATCACATCGCAACTGTGAATACATGTACATCGGGAGATGCGCATTTGTGGAGGAAAAAAAAAAAAAAAAAAAAAAAAAAAAAAAAAAAGCTCTTTTTTTCCTCATTGCAATACGCCGTTGCTTTGTGGAATATACGTGGGGCTGGGTTATTATTATAAAAGCATGTCGAGGTATTCCGGGTTGGGGCAAAAAGCGCCCATGGGGGTTAGGGTTGCGCCCAGGTATGCTCTATATTGTGCTTATTCATACATTGCATATAGTTGCTTGTGCAGCGAAAAAATTAGCAAACAAGAAGGCAATCCTACCAGTGCGCAATCCCTCTGGAATGGCAAATCGTCCCCATATATATGGGTTCCAATGACTACCCCGATGAAGCGACTCCTGTAGGGGGGTTGCGGGCTCTCCCGCCCAAATTTACCACGGCGCGAACATATGGATCGGCGCCAAAAAAAAAAAAAAAAAAAAAAAAAAAAAAGCCGCATACTTGTTGCATACGCGGGAAAGAGTGCAGCGCAGCGGGGAAACAAAAAAAGAATTTGAATAATGCTGTTTTTTTTTTTTTTTTTTCTTTGTTTTTATATCCTTAGAGGGTATTTTATAATGAATTGCTCATTTGGATGGTGCTTTTTTTTTTTTTTTCCCACCCATTTTGTACTTTTGGCTCCTCATTTCCAATTTTTTTTTTCAGCAAAAATCGCGCAGAGGGTGAACCGATCCCAGCACACTTCATAAGTGTATAAATTTATGTGAGAGAAAAGTAAGCGCCCTCCCGTCATTGTTTAAGTGTAGTGCTGCTAAGGGAAGAATAACCAACCGGGATGGTGGTGGTGAAAGGTTATATAAAAAGCTCTATTCCACATCACCATGTGCGAAGAAGCAAAAATTTATGAGGCACACGCGTATGGGAGATGTGAGGACGTATTTATGAGCATACATATTTGTTTAACCGTTGGACGGTGCAGTTGCCCCCCTGACGTGGGATTTGTGCAGAGTTTCCTGTCCCGTTGTTATATCATTCATTGACAGGCCCTCATCGGATGGGTTACCTACACACCAATAGGCTAAACGCTCTAGGGAAATAAGCCGCCCTCCTTTGCTCTGCGTTCAAGTGGTAGAGTCCTTATGGGGAAAATTGTTTCCCCCCCCCAGCAGTGGAGAATAGCAGTGCCAGTTCTTCCCAGAAGGGACATACCATTTTTTTTCAAATTACCCCCTTCCCCTTGGCAAAAAAAAAAAAAAAAAAAAAAAACACCACTATTTTGTGTGTGCAAAAAGTTTTCGCTGGTAAATAATTTTGCGCAATGTAACACATGTGTAGTAATTACAGTTCAAGAAAATGTAGGAATTATTATTTTTTTTAATTTTCCACCATTACTGTTCTTTTCCACTTTGCCTTTAGTTAACAAAAGCGATTTTTCTTATGTGCAAATGGTATGTGCGGTGTGGCTGATTGCCACGGGAGGAGTATGCCATTTTTCTCTTCTTTTGGCCTTTTTTTTTTTTTTTTTTTTTTTCCCATGTTTTATCTTTTCCACGTTGTTACGCGTGTAGGGATGGTCCTCGGGCAGGAGGTTTTATCTACATGTTGGTTTCTGATGGACAGGCAACAAGTGTGTTAGTCCCGTCGGACGGCACACATGGAGAAGTGAAATTTGTCCCAGTTCGCGACGCGTTCATACTTGTGCACACAATGATGCGTGTGTCACTGTGCTTAGGTACTGCTTATCTAAGTCTGCCCTGCATGTGCTGTACACATTTTTACTCTTCCTTTTCTGGTGTATGTACGCGGCAGCACAATTAGTGAACAATCTTTATAAGTCCAATTTTTGTTTCCATTTCTTATCGTTTTTACGGTCACTTCTTTACACTGTGGGTCTATACTCTCATGCAGTGCGCATAAGAAGAGGTTGGGGAATTTTCAAAAAGGGATATTGTCTCTTCACTTTTTTGGTGAGCCCGCGCCGGCATGCCTGGGTCTATACCTCCCCTTCAAGTGCACACAATACACATTACGCAGCTATATGTGTGCTTTTAATGGGTACACTGCAGGGGGACCTTTAACGTGTAAGGTCCGTACCCCTTTTGGAGATGAAACGAAGCGACTAAAAAAAGAAACAGATGAAGAAAAATATAAAAATGTTGTTTGAACAAAATGGTGGCTTAAAAGTGGGTAATCATTTGGGTTATGTGCGTGCATTTGTTCCCCACCCCTGATGTGTATCCCCCTTAAAGTGGAACAGAAGGGGAAGTGGAACATATAATGAGCACTCCCTCTTCATTGATCTCTTCCCTTTATGGGAAAAAAACGCATTTTGTAAAGTATGTATCCCTTTTTTTCGATAGCCATGTCCTGTTTGGTTACCAAAGAGGAAGAATGTTGTGATGGGAACACTTCTACACAAGTCCGTTGCCAATGCACCGACTCCTCCACTTTCATTGAGCTATCACGGTTTTTTTTTTTTTTACCCCTTTCAAATACATGCACACATATTCCACTTTGCAAAGTTAAATAAAAAAATTTTAAACAGAGAAATGGAGCCCCAAAAAAATAAAATAAAAGTGCTCACACAGATATATATACTCGTGTGGGCCTTATCCCAACTTGGGCTTCTTAGGGGAATGTGAAAATGTAGGCCCCGTCCCCATACTTTGGAAACAACATTGATCATTGGAAAATTTAGGACGCCAATAGGATGATCTGAATGGGCACACGGTTGAGCATGTTCGTAGGCCGCCTTGCAAAAATGGCTCACCAAATTGGGACCAAATGAGGCATCACACTTTAACTTGTGCATGCGTCGGGGAAGAAAAGAGATACTTTTATGTATTCATGTGTTGATATGTTCAATGATCCTGTACTCACACATGGTCGAGCTGACGAAGAATCAGCTTGTGCTAATTTTTTTTTGGATAAACACCTATTTGGTGGGCCAGTGGACTGATCAGGAGGAATAAAAAAAAAGGGCCGGGAATTTCCCAATCGGGAAAATCACCCAAACGTAAATTTACATCATAGTTTATGCAGGACTTTACTGTGTGCAAGTTGTGGCTTTGTAGGGGACACATGCTTAACTTTTGTGTCACACGTTCTCCCCGTTTTGCTGTGTATCAACCTGAGTTTCCCCACTTGTTGTGTTTCCCCTGCTGGCCTCTTTTCAATGTGCCAGGATGGATAACCCCAGTGGCATTATTGCATAAAGTGCACAAAAGTGGGTGTTAGTGCACACGAAAGGAACAAGATCCCAAAAAACAGTTTTTCAGTGTATTTTGTTTTTTTTTTTCATTCAACTTAGCTCCATTTTAAGAAACCCATTTTGTAAATTATTAAGGCAGGGGAGAATATGAGCAAGGGGAAAGGGGACGGGGCAAAAGAAAACAGTTGAACAGGTTTACATTCCAAGTTATTCATTTTTTTTTTTCCCTTTTGGCATACCACATTTACCTTTTTAATGAAAATTTTTAAGCATGTTGGTATTTTTAACATTATGCATGCGATGTGGATCTTTCCCTGCATGCTTGATCTATGTTTCCCTCATCGAAGTGAGAACTTGTTTTATTTACGTGTGTCCCGTGAATTTAGTTTATCAGTTAGCGGCTTAACTATTTTATTATTTGGATATTTTTTTTTTTTTTTTTTAAATTAATTTTCCTTATTTTACCTTGCCTGTTCAGGCGAAAAGTGCATTTGCGTTGTTTTGCGAATGACCGATCAGCAGCGTGTTGCACATGGTTGGATGAAAGAGGTCACCTGCATGCGTGAAAGGTGAGTGCACCCCTGGGGACGGAACTTTGTAAGCACGTACATGGGTATGCATGTGATAACTTGTGTATGCATTCCTTCCACGTGCGACGAACAGCGAACCACAGGTGAATGAGTCGTGCTTATACGTGTGATGCGTGGAACGTAGTTACAGAGTTAAGGCCCACACTTTTAAGGAGTACCACCCAAGGGCGTTTCCCTTGGTGAAGACTGACTGAGGTCCTCATTCACAAAAGGGGTGCATATATTGTTTACTGCATATTGTTTATTGTTTGTATATTATTTTATTTTTTTTTCATGCGATGGATGGGAAAAATCGTTATTCGTGCAGTTTGTTGGTACATACAGGTGCACCTACCACTAGTTATCCGTGTGGTTGTGCTCATAATGTCCCTTTTTTTTTTTTTTTTTTTTTTAATTGTTTGGTTTGAAAGAAACATGTTCACGTTAAAAAAAATGTAAATTTTCTTTTTAATGATGTATTGGATAATGTAAAAAAAAGAGAAAAAAAAAAAAAAAAAAGCGAGAAGAAACCTTTGATTGTTCTGCACTTACCACTTTATTTTCACCTGGATGGGCTTTTTCGCCCTCACGTTGTTATGCTTGAAATTTATGGTGTTGCTTCGAATGAGAGAACTACTGCCTCGACAGCGCACACAACTGTGACAACGCGCTTACGCGTAGATTTACCAAAACGTCCCCGAACTTGTCACGGAGGCTCGCTCCGCAGTGCAGGCGAAAACGCAAGAATGATTTTCTCTTTCAAACGCGTGCATGATAGGTACCTGAATGCGTCGGTGCGAGTACCAAATAGGGGCTGGCACCAATTGGTGCGCGCATGTACGTATGTATGAATATATGTATGTAAGCTTGTACACTTTTAACCTGCTACACCTTCCCACAACTGTAGTTATGATTATGCGCGATTCGTTTGCACATACATGCATGAGCGAGAAACGAGCAGCCCCCGCCGCCACCCCCTCCTCTGATATTTAACTTCTGTTTGTATGTGTGACTATGATGTTGCCTATTCTGCTTTGTATGTCCTCGTTATTCTTGCACCTTTACACTTTGACATGTTCTTTATGCCCCTTGCATTCCTGCCCCTCTTTTTATTTCACCCATTTTATTTTACCCGTTTTCATTTCGCAAGCCCACGTGGGAACGTCCTTTTGGACCTTCTTTATCACACGAAACGGTGGCTTCAGCTTGAAGCAGCTCGGAACAAGTGCGTGCCCTCCTGAATGAGAATTCATACGTACACACATGCAACGCATAGTATGCACAGGGGTTCGAGTGCGTAACTGATTGAATGGGAAAAAAAAAAAAAAAAGCACCGCGGAGTAAAGTCTGCAGCTTCCTTACGCTTCAGTTTATAATTTTTTTTTTTTTTTTCTTTAATGTGCCAATTTTTAATGTTCCCATGTATGTTATTCATTGTTGTATCTTTTACTTGTGACGTGGCTCTTTCCCCTCTGACAGATGCAATCATGTGTCGGCACCCGCACAATGCACGCCATTACCACCTGCATGTACAAGCCAAATGCACGGGAGTATTGCTCCCCCAATTTAAGCAACTTTTTAATACGCCTCTGAACAAACGCACATTTCTTTTTTTGATTTACTCTACGTGACATATTGCCCTGTGTGTTTCTTTTTTTTTTTTCCTTGACCCTCCCTTATGTAATTTTGCATGTACACTTCGGTAAGACTACGTAGCACATGTTTCAGAAACTGACGCCATCTCTTTTTGTGCTAATCTATTGTGAAGGTCGGTCACTACTAGGGAGTCTGCCTTATTTTATTTTATCAACATGTTGGCTAACCACTACGTGCATTATTAACACATTGTAGTTTCTTGGAAGATTTAAGTTTCTTTCTTTTTGTTTTTTGCAAGTTTAACACATGCGCGTCATTTAATTTCTTTAACTTGTGTATTTGTGAGTGTGCCCTCTTTCTTTGTGACCCCTTTTTTATTAATTTCCTTTTGCACATGCCCATAACTGAGATTTACACAAATTGCATGCAAATTGACTCCCTCCTGAGAGTGCGTGCATCCCGTGCAGGAGCTGCGAAAAGTGGAAAAAGAACTCTTACGGATGTATGCAGAGGGGTACGTTTTTTTATATGTACATTTTGTCTCTTTAGATGAACTAGTCGTATTTCATTTTATGAAGAAACGTCAAGTATGAGAATCATTACGTAGCTGTGGTGCCATAGGGAACGGTGCGCCCCAATTTTTTATGCTCTTAGCAGGGGTACACACAAACGTGCTTATGTTTACCAGGGTAAATTGAAATGATAATTTCATTTTTATTTAAATTTTTTTTACATTTTTAAAGTTAAATTGAGTGGAAAAATAGAGTAACGAGTCACCCATTAGGATGTTCGTATTTCCCCGCCATGAGTCAAGAAACGTAAACGCTGCCCCGTCATTGTGATGCCCCCTATGCATGCATTTATCTGATTACGGTGCGCTCACGTGGTATTTTTCATTCCAACCGAAGCGTCCACATGCCTACACAGACGAGTAGATAAATTCCTACAGTAGCGCCTTTGCCACACCTGTTTATTGCAACAATTAGGAGTAATAAGAACGCCAGTTGTACAAAGCAAGCCAAAAAAGGAGAAAAAAAAAAAAAATACCTGTACGTACAGGTAAAAAAAATAAAAAAACGTATGAACAGTTCATAAAAAAAAAAAAAAAAAAAAAAAAAAAAAAATTAAAAAAAAAAAAAAAAAAAAAAAAAAAGAAAACAACAAATTTCACAAAATTGTATGAGCAGAATTTTTAATAGAAGTGTTGCCTGTGAATGGGCAGGTAGTCACCCAGAGCGACCGTGTAGACTGAAGTGCCTGCATGTGCGAGCGCTTGGAAATACATAAATTTCCGCATCTTTGTATCGTGTGCGTGTTTACGTTTTAAAAGTGAGAACAAGTTTCGCGTGATTTCACAGGTGTACTTATACATATATATACGCATGTGTGTGTGTGAGCATCGACAAACAGGAGCTTCTGTGCCAAGTGAACCGTGCAAGCGTTTTATACTGTGTTTTGTTTGCATGACGGTTTGAGCAGCTCGTTGCGTTTGCGTGTGTCTTCATTTGTTTCCTTTGCCTGGCTCTTTCTTTTTTTTTATTCATTGTCTCTGTATTTATGCACAAGGAACCCATACGTTGTTCATCAGCGCCGTCACGAAGGTTGGCCCCGCCTGCGGTCATTGCCCCAGGCCCATTTGCCCAATTTTTTTTATCCAACCCCTGACATACACACTTAAGCGATAGAGACAAAATGCATCGATTCAAGTAAGAAAAACGAAGGAAAATAAAGGAAAAAATAAATAATAAATAAATAAAAAAACGATATGGAAGTACTCATCTGCTGCGCCCCCAATGGACACTTCTCAACAAAGTAAGGGCGCCATGAGGACCACTTTTGCACACACCCTTCCCATCCTTCTTTTCCTTTCTCACCCGCTAGGATTTACAAAATTCAGATGTGCAAATATGCAATGATAAATAAGTGTGATCGAGGGGAAAACTGCACCTTTGCGCATGACATAAGCGAACTGAGGATAAAGCCCGACATGAGGAAAACGAAGTTATGTAAAAGTTACATACTAGGTATTCCTCCTCTTCATTGTTTTTTTTTTGGGGGGGGCGCACACATAAGAGAAGTGTCTCGTTGAGTGCCTGGTACGTCTCCAGAGTTTTTCTTTTTTTTGGTACCCTTTGAAATTCCTGCAAGTGTGTTACATACACCCACCTATTCATTTATTTCCATCCTCATGTTCGTAGGAAAATGCACTGACCACAACTGCATTTATGCCCATTCAGTGAACGAGCTGAGGGAGGTTGGAAAGCCAGCTATCTGCCAGCTGCACAGAGAAGGTTCGCCGAGCACCGAGTTTATTTTGAGCTTGTAGTTGGTTCTGAGGAAGAGGAGCAACACTTAGCTGCGGTCGATTCGATCTGAAAGCGGACTCATTTTTTTTTTTTCCCTCCCCAACTATTCCTTTTATACAGGTAGGTGCATCAAGGGGAACCAATGCAGGTTTGCGCACTCCATAAATGATATAAACACGAAGCTGGTTCAGTTTTATGAGGATAAGATGCACCAGGAGGAAATGGGGTTTTCCCACCTGAACAGCTGCCTGGATTCCGTATGCCCGGGAGAATCGTCTATGCCGAACAGGGAAGGCAGCACGGGCAGCGACGTGCGCAACGGAGAACTGCTGCACCTGACGCGCCAAGGAAAGCGGGGGGAGTGGAAACTAAACGTAAACTTTAACAACGGTAGTTCCAATTCATCAAGTGGCTCCAACCAACACACGAGAGAAAACACAAGGAACGCCAACAGAACAAGCAACACATCCAAAGGTATGAACAGAGCAAATCTGATAAAAAAGTCCTCATGCAATGCGTTCTTAAACAATAACTTTCCTAATTTAAACTCTCGGAAGGAAGAAAAAAAGAACGAAAATATCCTGAGTGCCAGAAATGGAAAGTACACAAAATTATGTGCAATCAACATGAATATGAAGAGCACCCAGGGGAGAGTCTACCGGTATGATGAACAATTACTCATTCAGGATGAGAAAGAGGATTATCTATTAGAAGGAAGATTTAAAAAAATGAATTACCCTCAAAATGGAGAGCAGCGTGATGCAAATTGTTCCATTCCATCTGTGGGGAAGAACTTTACGCCTCCTTTCAATTTTCGCTCCATCTTATCCTTTAATGGGGAGGAAGCTGGGCAGAATAGGAACACTAGTGGAGCGGTAGATTATAGAAGTGGTACCAGTGGTGAAGACTCCGTTAACTACGGTCTGACAAGAGAAGTGGACGCCCTGGGTGAGGGGTGCACGATAGGGTTAGGCAACCAAGGTGGAAGCGGCCATGGGGTAAATTTTCCGCAGGGGGAAGTGTTCACCAAAGTACGAGACTCGGGAAAGAAGGTGATTTCCAGTGCATGTGGGATATTCAAGGAGGAAAAGACCAGAAGCCAGGACAACGATGATAGGGGAGACGGGTTGGTACATAGTGAAGACCGCTTCAGAGTTCGGGGACGTGTCTGCTGGGAGGGAAAAACCTACCCCATGGACATGCTATCCAGAAGTAGCGGTGTGGACAGCAATGATAACGGAGGAAGGAAGCCACTACATGGGGGAGAATGTTACGTCGAGACCTACCCCCCAGAGTTGCAGCAGAGAGGGTCGAATGACGATCCGACTCGAATCACCCCTTACGACAGGAAGGTTGTCCATTCTGTCCTGGCGACGAACCTTTCAAATGAGCTGAAGAAGGGAAATGGAAAAGATAAGGATGAGGAGAGATATGATGTGGCCAAATATTACGAGTCCGCTTTGTCCATAAGTAGGGATGACATGTTTGATTTCATGGGGGGTTCACTCCTGCGGTTGGCACATGGAAGCGAACACGTCTCGAATGGAGATGCATGCAACACGTGTAAGAGCTACCTGGCTGTGGATGGGCAGGAAGTAAGAGGCCGTGTTGATGGGGAAAGGAGGGAGTTGGACGGGGAAAGCAAAACTGGGGTTATTCGAAGAATGAGTACTCAGAATAAAGCTTTGAGCGTCAGGGACAGTGGTCCTCCTAATGGAAGCATCCCTCTGAAGGAAAGGGAAGAAGTATCGGAGAAGGCCAGATTGGTGGAAGGGGGAAACGAAGAAGGCTACGGGAGGGATGGAAAGAAAGTGTGGGAGAAACAGGAGGGCGCAGCTATGTGTGCTTTTGCGGTCGGTGCATGCCTACAAGGAGATAACAAGAGGCTCCTGCACACGTCAGAACTCAACACAGAAAGAAGAAACATTGGAAGGGGTGGCCACTCGCACAAGGGATCGACTGCCTGTCTGTCTGAGGTGGACAATGAAAATGCGAATGGTAGTAGTAACCACAGCGGTGGAAACCAGAATGGTGTATTGAAGGAAGGGTCGGCGGAGGGACTGACCCGATACGGAAGTGGCATACGAGGCGAAAGCAACAGCCAGTATGGCAGTAGCAGCACAGTGGATATGTGCGCGCAAAACCTTGATGAGTTTTTTTTCGGAAGGGTTGAGGAGAGGGGAGTTGGATCAGGCTGTCGGAAAAGCGGGGGGGTAATACGCGGTTTAATGGACACTGTATCGTTGGGGAGTTATGAAGACAAGAAGAGGAACGTCCATGACGGGGCCCACAATAACGAGCTACTAAAATACTTTGGAGAGATGCAACAGTGGAGCGGGTGTTCCATGCTCGGGAAGCTTCGGACGGAAGATAGCAACTTACAGAAGGGCGTTAGTGACGAGCATGGTGAGGGTCGAATTGACAGTCCAACTGGATTGGGCGACATCGAGGGGGCCGCAAACTGTACCAATATTAGGCCGTATAACTTATTTTCCCCCTTTGGACGGAACCATCGCGACCTGGGGAGGTTGCCTGATACCTGCCGTGTGAAGAGCGCATCACACAGATGTGTCTCCCAAGATGAAGTCATCGTAAAGAGAACGGAGAAGGGAAGCAGCAGTAGCGACCGAGTTGGGAGGAGGCACCTGGCCAGTACCGAGAGTGTAGCTAATCAGAAGAGGGCAGTTGAACCAGTGCGCGGTGGACAAAGTGGGGGGGATGTCCCTGTTCACTCACATGACAGTGAGGGAAGCGACAGTGGCACGAACGGTAGCCGCTACCGCATGAACGTACGAGGCGAGTCCGGGGGGGAGAGGCATTTGGGAAAGAATGGAAGAAACGGAGTCCAAAGTAGTAATCTAACTGATAACGCGCGTGTTGACGGAGATGGGCGGTGCGCAGGAAGCTGTGATGGGGGCTATTCACACATGTCTGGCTTGGTTGCAACGGGTCAGGCACATTCATTTTGTAATGGTGAAACGAAGGTGAGTCGTGACGAAGGAGGGGGGAAGGAGCAGGAGGACCCCGCGGAGTATGATCCTAGCGGTGGTTTCGTCGATGAGCGCTTAGGGGAGAAGCACAAGGTAAGAAGTCTCACCAAGCTCGAAAATAGCCGTCAAATGAGGGAAGAAGCAGAGCTACGAATTGCCTCAAGAAGAGAGAAAAAGAACAACACTCTCCATGGTCAAGTAAGAAACGCCTCTCCAGTGATGAGAAACTATTATGATGGAAGTTATGATTATATTATCCATTCGAATGAGGACGATATTATCAACAATGAGAATCGTCTGCTCTATAGGTGGTTAGGTGTGTCCTCGTTAAGTGAAAGTTGCCCCATGGGGGTGGGCACCTCTAATGGGAGTCCCCTCTTCACCTTGGATGATAAAGAATCCTACTTAGCAAATTTAGATGCGACAGGAGGCAGTGAAAGTGTCCTATGGAATGAGGAAGAGATGAGTTGTTGGTCCAAGAGGAGCATAACAAGGGGAAACATGGTCAACAATGGTGCAGAGTCTCGACTGAAGAGCAGAGAGGAAGAGTTTTATCATTCCACTTTGGGTAACATCCCAATTGGGTATGAAGAAGTGGCAAGCAAAAACATATTTATGCCCAATTACAATTGGGACGATAAGGAGGAGAGACTTGTGAGCACCGATGAGGGGGCTGTCGGCATAGCTAAAACGCAGGAGCAGTTAATGGAGAGGAGAGCGAAGAAGCATAGGGTGGTGTACAGGAGGGAGACAAAATTTGAGAAGGGTGATTACTATGGTGACTTAACTGGGAGGAAGATTTTCTCGAGAGGTCAGGCTTGTGACGTGGTGGAGGAGAGTTGCCGCAGGGAGGGGGAAGGGAACTTGATTGACGGCCTCTCCGGGAATGGTCCGATGTGGAAGGATTTGAAGTGGGACGGAGTCAGCCTTGGACCGCTCGCCAGGGTACACATGGACGATGGTGCAGCAGATGGGTACTCTAACGGGCTAGGACGCAGCCGGAGCAAAGGCACAATGGGTTTCTTGGGAAAGGAAGGGGACAAGGGAAACGGATTGGATAGGGAGATGAGTCACGCGGAGAAGGTGAATCAGGGAAGCCACGCAAGCCACGCGCTGACAGCGGCCTTCCTGAACTACGACTACGAGAAAGGGATCGAGGACGACATAGTGCAGAGTTTCTGGGAGGAGAGGAATTCCCCTGCGTACAACCATCTGGACAATTCTTTCTTTTACGACTTCCACGTGGGGAATGGGAGGCCTTTTTTCAGTCATGGCGAGGATGGTGCGGTGAGCGACAGGAACAAGAAGTGTGTATATGACGATGTAGACGCTGCCGCACTTGACGATGGCGCATTCTGCGTGAACCTGGCTAAGGACCTGGACCTGCAGTTCTTTACCCATGATGACTAATGCCCTTTGGATGGTGCTGCGGAGAAATGGAATGTGCTAGTGCCCCTTCACATTGGTGTCTGGACCATTGTGCCTCCTTTCGCTTAGGCTTAAGGTTCTCTCCCCAGCTAAACACTAGAGCACACGGGGATTCATTAGGAGGGTTGCTATTATGCAATAGTCGTGGAGAAATGTAGGAATTCTGTGCGCACTTGATGCAGGGGAAAAACTTGTGCGTGACCATTGTCGAGTTACTTGAACGGGGGATATAGTAATGTATTTTCTTTCTTTGCTGTTTTATTTTATTTTCTTGCATTTGTCTCTGTCCTTTTATTGCATGTGATTCCAATTTATCGTAGGCACCAACGCGCGGTCCAATATTGTACCTCTACCTTGTGGTGTAACTTATGCCTTGTATGGTATCAAAATGAACCATTTGATTTTTTTGTCTTTGCGGGGAGGACCGGTGAAGGGAGAAAGCACGAACACGTAAAGCAGCACCCGGAGCAACCCCAAGGTTGCCCCCTTTGAAGGGGAAGGAGAACGAGACCGGTTTATTTTGAAACGGCTCGGGGGGACTCATTCCTTTGATGTTAAGTTGACATGTGGCGTGGTTAAGTTGCGAAAGGGAGGTGGATCCATTTTTCCATTTGTGCTTTTTTTTTGTTCTTCTATTTAGAATTAGTATTATTTCTTTTTCTTTAAATTGTAAATTCCAAATAGTAAAGTTGGTGTGTTACAGTCCCGCCGGTTTTTGTTCGGGCGCGGGGGAGGAGGGAACATTGGGGAACGTGTGACGGGAGTAAGGACGCTTGTTTGTTTATTTCTACTCGGTTATTTGTGCGTTGTGTGTGGGTGCGAGTGCGCTTACCTTCCATAGGAAGAACGCAATCACCCCAATACCAACCACTGCTGGCATAAGCGCGGGGGTGTACGGCTTGAGGTCCTCCCAGTTCACGTCTGGCCACAGAGAGGGGGTACTTTGGTCAGCCTGTGGTGAGTCTAATTTAGTACCTCTGTCTTCTGTCTGGGACTTTCCGGAGGGGGGGGATGTTGCAGGTGGTTTTGTTTCTCCCGTTGGTTGTGGTGATAAGGTTTCTGATGATGGTGTTGGTGCCCCTGTTGTGGTGGTCGAGGGCACTGTTCCTTGACCTGGACTGGAGGGGGGAAGTTCCGGACCGGAGGATGAATAACTTCCTCCTGTACCCCCTCCCCCACCAGTACCCTGTTCAGTACCACCCCCTACACCGCTACTTCCCGATTGATCTGGGTTCGGGTTCGGTTTTGGTTTGGGTGGATTGAGAGGAGGGGGGTCCTCGGTGCCGCCATTGTCGACGGTTTTACCGTCCCTGCCGGCTGCAACGTGTTCGTCCTTTTCAGCTGTTGCACCTGCTGGAGATTTAATGTCAACTGGGGGCTCCTGTGTGTGCTTCGGACCATCTGTTGAGGATGATGTCTGAACACCTGGGTCCCCTGCTGGTTGTGCGGCAGCTCGTTCAGGTGATGATGGCGTGTGCTGAACGTCCTGCGTAGTCGCCTTCTTAGAATCATCCTCGGCCGCTACTTTCTTGTCCTCACCTGTAAATACAAGTGACGGGCAAAAACATGGAATAATAAAGGTGATAATGAAACTGCAGTTGTGTGATACGGTTGACCATGGTTCCAAGGTGGGCCACGGTGCGAACGGTGGTTGGCTGGTGCCACCACGGGAAAAGGCTCTCTCTCTCTCCCACACACAACACACACACACACAGTGTGTGTGTGTCTGTCGACGTCTCTACGTCTCTACCTTGACGTGTACATCGCGCGGCCGACCGATCGTTGTCGCGCCATCATACTCATTCGACGTTTGGTTTCTCTCTTCGTGGTTTTCTCACTCTCCGTGGTGTCTCTCCCGCTCTCCGGAAATTGTTGTTTCTTTTTTTTTTTTTTGTTTTTAACTCCTGTTATGAATGCATATGTGTTGCGTGCAAACTCCTAGATTCACCTGTCCCTGAACTTGGGTTAGGACTAATGGTAGCCTTGTCCGTCTCTGGCTGTTGCAGGAGTTTTTTGACTTCTGGTGTCATGCCTAATACCTCATCCGAGGTAGTCTCACAACTAATGGAGACACCTGCAGACGTGCCGGTGCTGGCGGGACATGTCGGCTTACCTGGGGACTTTGCATCCGAATCCGTAACCTGTGATTCTTTGGATTTCCCGTCTGCCCCTGGTGCTGCTGGTGTCCCTGCTTCCGTTGGTGATGCCGCAGGTGGGGGTTGTTGTCCAGGTCCCGGTCGTTGCGTGCCTGTTCCTGCTGGGGCCGGTGGTTCGTTTGGTGTGTCCGCTGGTGGAGGTGGTGCCGGTGGTGATGCGGGTACTACTGGAGATGCCGGTGCTTGTGGTTGCGCTGTTGGTGCCGCGGACCCCGGCGGTTTCCCTACCGGGGCTTCTGCTGCCGATGGATCTGGTGTTCCTACGTCTGTGGTTCGTGGTCCTTGTGATGGACTGCCCCCTGTACTCCCTGTTCCTGATGTTCCTTCTGGTGATGGTGACGACGGCTGCGCCCCTCTCTGGTCTCCTCCTGCTGCTTGTACCGGTGTCGTTCCTGCAATGAGGGATGGAACAAAGGAAGATGAACAGACGATAAAAAAGCGACACAAGTGGTACAGAAAGAAAGAGCGGCATGGTGCGGTCAGGTAGCGGCAAGGTAGGGTCGGCTGCATGGTGCAGTACACTTTTATTTGTCGCCGTCCGCGACCGCTGCCGAGGCCACTCATCTGCGTGCGCGCCGCAACCGCTACCACTGCCATCGCTACACGCTCATCGCCGATGCCGTCGTGCCAGCCGAACGTCAGCGAAGTCGTTTGCTGTGTTGTTGTGGCTGCCGTGTGCGTAGCTGTTCCGGCGTGTGCGTTGTTTCCCGTTCGTGTTGTTGTGTGGCGACATGCGCACTATTCGTGCGGTGCATGCGCGCTGGTGACATGCTTATTAGGCCGCATATTCGTATTCGTAGTCTTACGCGTAGTATTCTTACCTGTCCTTTCCTTCATGTCCTTGTGGGCGTTCTTCGGCTCTTCATCGTCCTCGTCCTCGTCCTCAGATTCAACATCACTATTCGGAGAGTCCACGGAAACCTCCACCCTTTTGCGCGCCTTGTCCACCTTTTTTCTTACTGTGTTGGTAATTGTCTTAAACACTTCTTTTATCTGTTCCTTCAGTAACATTTGCATGTTTCCCTTCTTAAATATACTGGAAATTTCTGCATCTTCCCCTGTCTGTTGCATACGCCTCTTGTACTCTGCCCATTTTATGTTGCATTGTGGGTTCTTCTCTATTGCCTCCATACGATTACGTATTGTTGTACTTTTCTGTAACCATTTTTTTACCGCCCCCTGTAAATCCCCTGTTCCTACCTGTGTATCCTTATACGCATCCAGCGCACATGTTCCAGCTGAAATTGAAGTCTCCACCCCACCCTGTCCTCCCATTCCTTTCATGATGTACCATGCCCTGTCTACTGCAGGCCACTCATCTCTACACTTTATTTCAGCCAATATATACGCAAAAACATTTGCCACGATGCACCTCATAATAGCCTTCATTTCCGTATCATTTTGCGAGTCGTCCGTATCCGGCGCCTTATTAGGTGTCCACCCAGTTACAAAATATAATGCTCCAAGCATCAGACTGCATTTCATTACGTCCGCAACTGTGTGTCCGGTGTAGAAGGTTCCCTGATGCGTGTCTCCTCTACGCGTCCAACCTGCATCCCCACAGCTGACTGCATACGCATCTATATGTTGTTCGGTTTCCTCCATGTAATTCACGAATTGTTCTAACACATTCTGCATATCTTCCCATAATTTGCTCTACAATATATATAAGAAGAAGGAAGCGGTTAATATATAAAAATATTGACCATTCTCCCCTGCAGCGTATCACGTATTCCTTGCTCAATACACAAGTGCTCATGCGGATGCCCCGCACTTTGTATCATCTGTTGCCTGCTGTTCACCCTTGCGTGTTGTAATACTTACATTAAATGAATCCTGTGTCCCTATGTCTCGTTTCCGTGCCCACTCGGCCATTGCATTTACTAAGTGCCCTGCCATGGTGCATTAAGTGCCATAATACAGGATACTAATGCTACCTGAGAATACTATGCACAGTATTAATATTCCGCCCTGATGCTATACACACTTCTGCCTCATTAATATGCTTATTACTATATTAGTGGGGAAAATCCGATCACACATATAATTTATATAAGGAAAATGCACAATACAGAATTGCACAGTGCACAAACTGTGTATACCATGCTGATATTGTTTAGGAGAGAATAATATGCACATAACCAAAACGGAGTACAAAAATGAAGAGAAAAATGAAACAAAAAAACTTCTACTACACTACCGTACGCACACAACACCGTCATGAATATACCCCCACTCCCTTTGTACACCGGTCTGCACTAAACGCCGTCGAACACACGGTCTCTCTGTGCGTACACCAAAAAAACCGCAGTAAAAACAACAACATCAATTCGTCAATGCTTCTGCCGTCGTTGCCGCCTTCTTTGCCGCCCTTGTGTGCTCCCCCACATAATATGTGTGTTCCTTCCTCCGCCTCCCGGCGGCTCTCTGCTCCCTCTGTGGATCCTTGCCTCCAACCACTTACTCGGCTACTTCGTCGAATCCGTCTTACACTTGGCCGCGTTGCTCGACGCGTTTGCTCGGAGAGACAATCCTCCTTCGTGCACTCGAAGACAATCCTGCTTCTTACCCGGCCACGTTTGCTCGGAGAGACAATCTCTCCCTCCTTTCTTACACTCGGCTACATCGTCGAATCGGTGTTGCACTCGGATACTTCGTGCGAAGCCGGCCGCGTTTGCTCGGAGAGACAATCCTCCTCCTTTCGTACACTCGGCTACTTCCTCGGACAATGGGTGTACCCGGCCGCGTATGCTCGGACAGACAATCCTCCTGCGTTCTTACACTCGGCCGCGTTTGCGCGGCTACTTCGTCGAATCGGCCGCGTTTGCTCGGAGACAATGGTCCTGCTTCGTGCACGCGGCCGCGTTGGTCGACGCGTTTGCTCGGAGAGACAATCGCTCCTGCGGCTTACACTCGGCTACAATTCGGTTTACGCGGCCGCGTTTGCTAGGAGACAATCCTCCTGCTTGTTGCATTCAGCTACTTCGTCGAATCGGTCTTGCACTTGGCTGCGTTGGTCGACGCGTGTGCTCGGAGAGACAATCTCTCCGTCCTTTCTTACCCTCGGCACAATGCTTACTCGGCTACTTCGTCGAATCCGTCTTACACGCGGCCGCTTTGGTCGACGCGTTTGCTCGGAGAGACAACCTCTCCTCCTGCGTACACTCGGACAATGGTTTCCCGACTGCGTTTGCTCGGAGAGACAATCTCTGCTCCTTTCTTACACGCGGCTACTGCGTCGAATCCGTCTTATACTCAGCCGCGTTTGCTCGGAGAAACAATGTGTACCTTCTTACACGCGGCTACAATGCGGTTTACGCGGCCACGTTTGCGCGGAGACAAGCACCTTATACTCGAATGCGTAGTCGCAGGCTATATGTGTTCTGCACTATACCCGTAGAATGCACTTTCTCATCTGTTAATAATTAACTTCACATAAAGGAGAATTGTACCCCTGCATATTATTCATGTAAATCTGCATTTTATATGCATGTGACCTGTACCACCCTGTTCCTATGGTCATGTTAAAAGAAGTTGACTACACAGAAAAAGAACAAAACAAGGCAAAAGTAAGCACAAAGAAACAGAAGGAACAAAAGAAAAAAAAAAAAAGACGGTATAGAATAGTGCAAACAAGAAATATATTATGTATATCACATAATGCAGTAAAAGTGGTCTACGGTTAGCATGCGTTATGTCGCATGCATATGCCCCGTGATCCTAATGTCGCATATTCTGTAATAAAGCATCCACATATAACTCCCTAGCCTGCATACCCCTGACTTCATCCTAATTTCAGAGCTTGTCCAGGAGTTCATCTACATATAACTCCTTCTCCTGCAGACGGCTTTCAAGCTCGCACTGTTCTATGACTAATGCCAGGATCAGTATCCATGTTTTAGCGGTTAACCGTTTTTTCATGTAAGTTTGCCGATGCAGTTGCGACCGCGGTAAATCTCTCACTCTTAGCATATGTTGTGTTCCCGTTACATTTTCCACTTCTAAGTCTTTTGCCATTATAGGTACTTCGGCGTTTGCCGGTGCGTTGTCTGCTGCGGTTACATTGTCTTGTGCGATATGTTCTAACAAATGTTGAAACCACTCCTGCTCACTGTATGTATTCATAAGCGCATGTTGCCTTGCAACCCACTTTTTCCAGGCATCTTTCTTCATCTCTACGGATGGGATATTGCCACGCTCACAGTGTTCACTGTG